GTGTGTGTGTGTGTGTGTGTGTGTGTGTGTGTGTGTGTGTGTGTGTGTGTGTGTGTGTGTGTGTGTGTGTGTGTGTGTGTGTGTGTGTGTGTGTGTGTGTGTGTGTGTATGACTATGTAACTCGCTTATAACTTTTGAACGACTGAACCGATCGGAACGAACTAAACGGCGTTCTAAAGAGTTCCCTTGAACTTAGATTTCCTGAGGATTTGAACCGATTCGGACCGATAGATTTTAAGAAATCTTGAAAAATATAAAAAAAAATAAGAAAAAAATCATTTTTAAAAGTGATTTTTTTGGAATATCTTTTAAACGGCTCTATCGATCAACTTCAAAAACTAATCCGCCCTTAAGCTTGAAAAACCACGCCGATCGGCGCTAATCCGGTCAAAATCGGTTGATTCGTTCCAGAGATACATGAGTAAGGCCTCGTGACGTTGTCAAAATATTTGGCGACGCAGGTAGGCTCAAAGATTATGGGGATTACAGAAGACAAGTAGCAAACGAACGAGACACATACAGGGATAACTAAATATTATAGCTCAACAGGCCTCACGGCTACACCTCCCCGCATGGGCCCCGCTGGGCAACTGGTCGGGTTGTCATTATATTACCGGCCAGGCCAACGTAGTCGTTGAATGGAGTTGTATAGGGGGTTTGATACATTGAACAATTACGAGGACAGATTGACATTAAATTAAATTCAACTCCATTCACATTCTGTCCAGTGATAGCGTAAAAGCTGGAGGGCAGGGTTTTTCCTTGCCCGGCGAGTTGACAGTGCTTTTGTTTTGGTGAGATTTGGGTTTTATTTCAAGTGCGTGTATAGCTTTTTTAAGCCCAGGAAACGGCCTGTTCGAAAGGAGGCAGACGAAAGTCTCACCAAATAACTCGTTCCAGAGATACCGTGAACGAAAGAAAACCGAAAAAAGTGTTTTTTCGGGATTACTCCGAAATTTTTGGTTCAATCAATAAAAACCTGAAAATAACTTATGAGGATGATAAAACTGCGTCGAATGCCGCCAACCGCGTGAAAATTGGTTGATCCATTCAAAAGTTATTGCGGTTTGAAAATTCCAAAAATAGTGATCTATGAAACTTCTATCAGACTTTTGAGCTGGGAGAGCTCAAATGCATAGAAATATTATTTCTTTGAACTCAGTGAGCTCAAAATATCACATAAATTATATTTAGCGGGAAGTTAGAATTAGCGGGAAGTTGCAGGGATGGCTTTTAGGGTTAACCGTTTTTCTAATTTTTTTATATCGAAAAATGCAAATTACAAGTCACGGGATTATTTCCACCATTTCACGCCACCACCACCTTAGCCAATGACAATCATTAAAATCCACAATTTCTGTACGCCCTCGTTCATAAATTCCTAAGAGCTCTAATTTTCAATGGGTTTTTCTTTCGTGTCGAAAACACTTACATGAAAGTTTAAAACGATCGACATGCTCTAGAACAATTATCCTTGGGTGAAATGACTTATATGTAAATGAAAAAGACTTACCGCAATAACATGTTCTCCATTCCCAGCTTTAGCGATAATATCCCAATCAATAGTATCAACATAGCAGAGCATTGGATTTTTTTCAAAACGTACAGAACCTCGTAATATATCAGTAAGTGAGTATAGGCCAACTTCTTGTAGGTGCATCATTTCGAAAGCCACCAGTGCATAATTTATGAAGAGCGAATGACCACGGATAACGGTTAAATTGGGAAAAAGTTGGCCAATACTTCGTAAGCCGTTTACTCTTAAAATGAAAATTATTATTAGTAGAAGTCGAGTGTGATAGTATTTATGTCTCGAAATTATTACTTACCTGTATAATAAAAGATAACCTGTAATTTCTATCAAATCCGGAAATGTGAGGTTAGCATAGGCTGAATCATCTGCGTGGTCAATTAATAATATTTGTACGAAACCTTCTACTACTCGACAGCCTTTCAGTCTTGAAAATTGAGTCACACTATTTCTTATGTCTATGCTTTGGCACACTGTAATAATAAAAAATTTTGACATAGCGATCGTAATGCAATTTAGGAATAAAATTTTTATGTCCATACTAAGGGGAATGAGATCATCGGGAATAAAATTTTCTGACGATAAAATTTTTTTAATGGCTTAAGAAAGTAGGTTTTCTTATTCTGTAACAAACTGGTTATTCCTATTAGGAAAATTTTCAACTTCAAATTTGAAACTTTTATCATGAGTCAAATAAACATTGCATTGTCATTGAACTAATATCACTTGAATTGAGAAATAAATGATCTTGAAGCAATTAATATGAAGTTTGACTCAAGCGTTAAGGCTGCGTTGACTTAGGAGAAATTTTCTTCACTCAAAATTAAAGATTCATAAAAACTTTACTCTTGGGTCAAGCGAATTTTGGTAGTTTTTTTAGAACCCAAAATTTCCTTGAGTCAAGAAAATGTATCTTCTATCAAGAATTTGTTATTTCTTGAAAGTGTGATACGTACGTCCTACTAACTATATTTTAAGAATTCATAAAATATCTTACAATTATCATAAGTTGTAGGCTTATTGTAGATATAACTAGATTTACGATAATATAAAAAAAAATTACAATTTTTCTTGATTGTGGAATGCACGAGATCCTCTTAAGAATAATCAGAATATTTTCCTACACTGAGAGAAAAATCTGGTTCTCTGAACTCGAAAAATCTAGTTAAATAGCATCACCACTATTTAATTGAAGTTCTCATACCTAAAATTATTTATTATATTGAACCCCAATGTATAGTTACTTAAATTATTTTCAGTTAAATATGGGCTTAATAGTAATCTTGATTCACTTTAATTCAGAAAACAGAAAAAATAATTCAGACAACCCAGATCAAGAATCGAATCCGGATCCTTTGGTTACGCACCAAGGGCTCTTCCAGTTAAATTGTATGAGACATCGTCTGTAACACTTTTTCAGTCACCTAATAATTTTTTGTTTAACACGATAACAGAAAAATATTTCTTAAAATATGGTACATATAACTATTTATCAATAGTTACTAAATGCATAGTTCAAGTAACTACAAAAAAAAGTTCAGAAAACTATATTTTTATATTTGTGATGTTATTACTCACCAAAACATACATTTTTCGCTCAGTATAGGACTTGAAAACGTAGAGGTCTGAGGAGAACTCGATTTTCAAACATTGGAGTAAAAGTAATAACTTCCTAATTTTTATAAATTATCTTAACCCAAGAGAAAGAAATTGTTGAGTTAAACATAATGTATCTTGTTATAAAATGGAAAATTGCTTCAATAAAGAATAGAGTTAGTGAGTAATGAATTTTTTGTCTTCATCTAAGAGTTTTATGTTCTTCGTTCAAAAGTGATTTTTAACTTCCCGCTAAGAAAATCAATAATTTTCACAAAATTGGGAAGTTATTGGTTTAACCCCGGTTTTCGAAAATCGAGTTCACATCAGATCTCCACGTTTTGAGGTCTTAGGAAGCAGTTAAGACTATTCCTACGAGGACGTCACTGTGTGTGAGTATGCGTGTAGACAACTTATAACTTTTGAATGGCTTGACTGGGTTGAACGAATTTGGCGGCATTCGAAAGCGCTTCATTAAACTTAGATTTTCCATACTGTTTGAACCTAATCGGACCAGTAGATTTTTAAAAACTAAAAAAAAAAATTAGGAAAACGGTTGACCCTAAAGGCCATCCCTGCAGGTGGTTTTTTGAGATTAGAAGCTAATTAGTTTTTAGAATCGATCAGTTGAGCCGTTTAGAAGAAGTTTCAAAAAAACGAATTTTTGAAAATTTAATTTTGGAGATTTCTCAAAATTTATTGACTCGAATTCTTCGAACTAGTATCAAAAATGTTAGGGCAATGAAACTCTTTGGGACGCCTTTTATTTCGATCGAATCGGATAAGCCGTTCAAAAGTTATGAGAGATTTTTTATGGTGACATCACCGCGGAAATATTCAGGGAAGCTTTCTAGGACCTCAAAACGTCGAGATCTGATGAAAACTCGATTTTCGTAAAACGGGGTAAAACCATTAACTTCCCAATTATTGAAAATTTTCTTAACAGGAAGTTAAAAATTGTTTTTTTGGAATAACTATTAAACAGATGTAACGATCAATTCCAAAATGCAATCAGCTCTTGAATTCGAAAAACGACGTCGATTGCTAGAAACCGCATGAAAATTGGTTCATGCGTTGAAGAGAAATCGTAAACAAAAAATTTTGAAAAAAGTATTTTTTCCAAATAACGTCGAAACTTCTTCTTGAATTGGTTTTGATGCAAATCGCATTCATTCAAAAAAAATCGTTAACGAAAAATTCTGAAAAAGTGTTTTTTAACTTCCCGCTAAGAATTGAAAATTTTCGAAAATTGGTCTAACCTCGTTTTTCGAAAATCCAGTTTTCATCAGATCTCGACGTTTTGAGGTCCTAGGAAGCGTTTCTGACTATTCCCGTGATATTGTCTACACTGTTAAAAATTTCTATTGTAATTTTACAAGAAATGTATTGGAAGCTAATAGGTAAAACATTTATTTAAAATTACAATCGGGTATAGTAAAATTACAAAACATATACAGCTCAGTGAAGTTAGTAATTTTACAAAACAGTTTTGTAATTTTAAAAATATTTTTAGATTAGCTAAGTTTGTAAAACTACAATACTTTCCTTGAATTTTACTTGAATTGAAATAATAAAAAAGAAAGATTTGATTTAATATCTGTTGTCATTTTATTGTTATGAAGCGCTGACTAGATTTTGTATCTGAGGTAGACCTAATTTGTTCAACTCAGATGATTTAAAGTGAAAATAATATATACCCTAACTAAGAATCGAACGCAAGCCGCGCGCTTGCCAGACCGATACCTAACGCCCTACGCCGTACGACCGATAGGTGATTCAACATCTTATTATTCTTATAAGCTAATCCTATGTAGTGATTAAGCATTACGGCTTATTATTTATAATCTACATTATTTGTGTTATTTTATGCTGTTTATTGATGGAAAAGTCTCATTTTTGTAAAACTGAAAAGTATTATTTTTAAAATTGGAAAAAAGTGAAGTAGAATTACAATTCGTGTAATATAAATAAAATTTTCTGGTAACATTACATTGCACTGTGTAATTTTACAATAAAAATTGTAAAAATAAAAGAAAGCTTTTTAAATTTTTTATGAGATTATTGTAATATAAATTACAATATTTTTTTATGATTTTACATACAATTATGCCGAATCAGATTACAAATAATGTTTGCAAAATTAAAAAGCTTTTTCTTGAAAATTGACGAACAGTTCTGTAATATTACAATGCGTGTTGGGTTTATACAAGAAGATTGTAAAATTACAATACATCTTAGTAGATTTCCTGATAGGTGTTGGAAAATTACATGAGTTGTATTTTATTTCGAGGCCCGAGTAGGACAGCAGGCACGCGGAAACCCATTTTCAACATTAAATAAAAATTATTGTTTATGGAGCTAGAGTTCCGGGAGTCGAGACTTTTTTTCAGAAATTTCCTCCTCTTTAAGGATCTTTTTTCTGATTGTCGATATCACTTATAGTTATTGAGTTATTAACGCAACAAATTTCTAACCGTGTACTTTGTATGAGTCGAGCAAATACTTGTATATACATATATTTTTGTCACTACACACTTAACGTAGTTCCAGCGTGGTATAGTATAGTCAGAGCATTTACTATAAAGAAAAATTTTAAAGCCTCGGCACACAGACGTTCACATATACAATTACATATTGTTAGTTCTAGTGATCTGGCAACGTTGCTCTTGAAAACCGTGAAAGATTTGAATTTCCCGCTTTTTATGCTACACTATTACAGGGAGCGTTGCGTACGGCGTTGCCGGATCACTATAAATTGTTCAATGAGCAGGTTAGAAATGGATCGAAAATTATTTTTTTTAATTATTATATCTTTATTATATCGATAACGAAACGGTGAGGTGCTACTTTTATTTTTTTAACTTATTCTAAAAACATTTTTCAACACTCTCCTAATTTTTTTTCCAATTCTGTCGAGAGAGTTTTTTAATATAATAAAAAATAGTTGGAGAGACCGGACATTTTACATACTTTAAATGGAACATGACCCTCAAAATCGCCAACTTTGACTTTAAATATCTCGCGATCTAAACGGTCAAAAATTATGAAATTTTAGGAATTTATAAATAAAGCTATTCTGAACCCGTAAAAAAAATTTCAGCCGAATCTGTCGAAAAGTGATTTCATGCTGGAACTACCTTAACTGTAAAGCAGTAATATAATGGGAAATCAGCACGTTAAAAATTAATCAAAAATGTCTCATTAAATGAACACAAAAAATAAAAATCATGCATAAGGTTATTTTTTTTTAATTTAATTCTTTATTAAAAAAATCTCGGTTTAGTTCCAAAAAATCATGTCGCCAACGTTGGCGTTACTTTCCAAACCAAGAGAAAGATTTACTTGGGATAAGTATATGACATTATCAATTCAAGAATAAATTTTTTCAACTAAGATAGCAGAATAACTTGAAACAAGAAGTAAATTTTGAAGAAAATGATTTTCTTGAGTCAAGATGACTTTTTTTTCTGTGTACAGTTAACGCTGGAAAATTACTAAATTGTTAATTTTTGAGATGACGTTTTGTATTTAGCCAATAAAAATAAATTTTAATTCATAATTACTATGAAATCATAATATCAATGAACTAAAATTCAAATTTGCGCGCATAGTTTAATTTTCAAAATTTTCTAGTTCTATTTTATGGCACGGTAACGCTGTTCTTGATTTTATCTATACTTTCACGACAGCAAATATAAGTTTTTGCCCTTCATCAGTATCGACAAATTAATTGATTAACCTCAGTTCTTATTATTTTTTTTTATTGGTAATAGATATAAGTAATAATGATTTGAAGTGTGAAGTAAATTGGAGGTAGTGATTAGACTAATATTTAAGCAAAATGGCTATCAAAGACTCTTGTAACAATTTTTATTTAATTGGCCACGAACGTAAAAATTTTTGTCCCAACGAAAGCTCCCTTCTAATCGAGAAGTATTGAGTTTGTTTATGTACAATTATAAATCTTTAGGTAAACCACTGAATAAAAGTATGAAAATTGTGATTGATGAAGTGATTAGTGTTTGGAGTAAAATAAAAATCCTTGTGATGAAAGTTCAAAATAATATTGAAAAATTGAATAACTTGTACAATAAGTAGATTAAACTAGAACAAAATTCTTCTCATACTAAATCAGCTTGTCAAAAAACTAAAGAAGTCGATTTTCAGCTTTTGTCTCAAAAACTATTTGACATTGCAAGTCAAAATAAAAATGTACGCTTAACATATGAACAAGAAATATTTTTGAATAACGAGCGAAAAAATCAACACCGACGTATTATACCATTTAATTTAGAAGAAATAAAGTACGAATTTAAAATGTGTTAATATAAAAAAAGTCAAGATTGATTCTTTCATGACAAAAAATTTGAACTATTTTGCATCGAAAAAGTCGATAGATTTATTTCAGCGATTTCAACTACCCACTGAATTTTTAAAGTTACATCCAGATCAATGGAAATCTGATAAAGATTGTAATACGTGGTTAACAATTTTAAAAAATTTACACGTCGAAAATGATACTGCTGAACGAGAAGTTTAATAAATAGAATCATATAATTGGAGTTTAACTCATAACAAAGAACAGAAACAATACTTATTAAAAGTTGTGGCTATGTATAGAAAGCAATTTCCTAACGCTAACAAATAAACATTAATGTTACCAACTCTGAAATGAAAGAAAAAAAATTAGGAAAACTATTTTTAGTTCAAAAAATTTTTCTTAAATTAATATTATTACAGAATTTTAATGAAGCAAATAATTTTATCATTGAAATGCAATTTATTTTTAAAATGAAATGAAAAATTTTTCGATCAAAACTGCAAGATTTTTTAAAGTTAGAAATTGAATTCACAGTTTAAGGAGAATATATTAAACTTAAAACAATCGATGTTTTTGGCTGAAAAATATAATTTTTTTTATAAATTAAAAATAATCGAAAAAAATACCGACTATAGAACTCCAACCCTGCAACTCAGACCGGACCAGGCCGAGTACAACACAAGCCTCTCAGCTATTGCACGCTTCTTGTGAGGGTGACATATTTATTCCTATATTAGCCTTTCGTTCATCGCGCTATGAGCGTAGCGCCGTCCTGATACGACTTAACTATAGGTTACCGTTTGAACGTGAATGAGAAACTAAAAAGAGAGCGAGTGACGAAGGGTTGATAAATCTGATTTTTGTGGTATTCTAAAGACGGCGCTGCAGTTTAATTGAAATCTCGGTTTAGTTCCAAAAAATCATGTCGCCAACGTTGGCGTTACTTTAAACTCGCTGCAGTTTAATTGAAACAGTTTTGAAGCCAAGAACATCGATGTTCTGAAGAGAAGCTACACGGAAAGAAAATTGTACGAAAAATTACGATGGAGACATCGTAATTTTTAGTATAGAACATTGTAGTGCCGGACCAGAACTCAAACATTTTAATTTATACGATGCAACATCGTAAATTTCTATCACTCAAATTAATAAGAAGTTTAGGTTACTGAAAAAATAATTCTGTATCACCGAGGAATTGAACCCGGTGTCCTCTCCGCCTCAAGTCCAAAGTTTATCCCCTTACGCCATCAGAGGGAATATGTATACTTTCTGTTCAGTCACATAATAAGACCCTTCATACAGTAGTTGGTCATCTGTCGGTGGTGGCGTCGTAAACTACTGGACTCTGTCTCATCTCTTTTATTAAAACATATAGTATGCGCCCTTATTCACTTGCTCTTACGGAAAAAAAATTTACTACATAACATCGTAATTTTCAATAATTCAAATTGTATTCTGTAGACGGCAGCATCGTAAAAATCAACATACTGAAAGTCTAATCCTGGATTACGATGTTACCATTGTAATTTTTTATAGGATTTTTTTCCGTGTATTTGATTTTGGAGTAATTAAAATATCTTTTGCGTTGAGAAATCAAAAATTTTGATTAAAAAATAACTTTACTTTATTTATTTATTGGAAACTTTTGAATCAAAATGTTTAAAATTAAGAACAAAATATTTCTCAAAATTTTGATCGTCTTCAAATAAAAGTATTTAAGTAAAAAATATGGTTTTTGAGTCAAGATTGTTTTTTTTTCTGTCTAAGAAATAATCTTTTTTTTTGCTCTTAAGCTGCGTTGAATGCCACAAACCGAATCAAAAACGGTGAAAACAATAACTTACTGAATTTTTAAACTTTACAATTTCCTTAGAAAGAAGTTAAAGGTATTTTTAAGATAGATAACTTACCATCTCCATCGAAAGAATATGTTGTTTGAAGAGGTTTTTCGGTGAAACTGGCAGTAACAATTGGAAACAAAATAATAACTATCCAAATTAACTTGAACCAAAAAAATGCTCTACTTTCAGAACTCCATCGCACAACACTCAAAGCATTATTTGTCATTAGACAGTTATACACTGGTTTCATTCTATATTGACGAGTGATCAATATCTCTTTATCTCTTTTCCAGTCATTATTGATTTCACATCTTTTATTCAATCTTAATTTATGTTTATGAACAACCACATCATTTTCAGTATTGTTGTGAAGGCGATCACATAGTTG